GGAGGCAACAGAAAGAAGATTGCTAAATGAAAAAGAGTGGTTGCCTTATATAGATGGCAATGCTGTCACAAACGCTGGCACGCTTTGGAAAATATTGGTGGACAGCAGGAGTATTATTAAACTACAGGTTCCTTTTAGCAATGAGGTATTTTCACCAGAATCTTTCTTGTTTGCTCAGCCATTGCTTACTTACAGTGTGATCAAGGCTGGAACAGCAAGCTCAGGGAAGGAAAAAAGAAAATTATCTTAAAAACTGGTAATCAGCATGCAGGGAAAAATGTTACAGCTATTTCCTTCATTACCTCCTTTCTGCAATGTCAGTCACTAGGACAGTAACTTTCATCTTCTGCTCTTTCTGATGTTACTGTATGTGTAAAAATGCTGTGTCCTATGGAGGTTGAACACTAACAAAACCCTTTCAGCTTTCTGCAAAGAGAAAAGAGGTTATTCCTATATATTCCTATAAAAATCCAGGTTATTCCTGGACATAAAAAAGCAAATGTATTACCCCAACTGGGGCAACACATATCTTGTGGTTTTGAGAGGGTACTGTTATTCACAGCACTTCCATGAATTAATTCAGTGGTCACTGGTTCAATTTTTTATTCTTCATGTCATGATCTTGCAGTAAAGACAACTGTTTTGACAAACTGGTTTACTTTCTTTTGTAAAGTCTTCCCAAACTCATGAAGTTTCATAAACATCAGATATCTGCTCCTTTTATCGCTGTACTTATTCCCATTTAAGCTTATGCATATCTAACAGGCTCTTCCTTTTGACGGATTTCTTACCTTTTCTTTAAGCCTTTAGCACCTCTGCCTTCTATTCTTCCCCATGAAGAACCCAGAAATTAAGAGCCCAGTGGTATTAAGTTCTAGGTCACAAAATATTTTGGTATATAATTTTTGCTTGCTTTCCAACTCATCAGAAACAGATATTGTGCAGATTCACCAAAATCTGAAATGAAGTTATTTCTGATATTTCTTCAATTTAATGAGCTGAAAAATCTGTCCCATTTTTTGTGGCATTCTTAACAGACCTCAGCTAACTACATCCTGTAACACATGGTTACTGCTTACACACCATTTCTGCAGGAATACTGTTCAAAAATAGCTTGACAGGAACCTCCAAGTTGTCTAACATCTTTCCGCCTGCAAGGCGGTTTGCACAGGTTATGACAATACAGTAAACATCTCCTAAGGTACATCACTGACATCCCCAGTCTTGTTCTTCTACATTTCATTGTGGGATTCCTGGTAGGAATTCATGTTGATTGTTGAGAAATTCAAAGTATTTTGTAACAGTGACTCTCAAACATATGAGAATCCCTTTTAGTTATCTTCAAGGTAGTAAATTGCCTGAGATGCCTTTCCCTGTATTACTTTTCTTGTGCCAGCAAAGCCTCTGTTGGTAGGATTCTCCTGAAGATTGTGCCAAACCATTAATCGCTGTGTTGTATCTTTCCTTTTGTAGCAGATTAGAAATCTAAATCAAAGGTTTTAATTGCTTTTATAATATGGGACTGACTGATTACAAACATTTTGATCTGGGCCAGCTGTAGCTGGAAAAAAAATATGTGTGATACACACCTGACATTCAAATTATCATCATTATGATTCAACTTAATTAGAGCTAGTTAGGTCACAGTTATTTAATCTAAGACATCTATTAAACTATTTTTGGAAAATGGACAAATTGGGAGGGATTTAAAATGCATTTAAAGACTTGATGTTAAAAAAAAAAAGCAAAGCTTGGGTTCTTCAGCAGGATTAAAATTTCAAGGATTTTGAGCACTAAACATGAAGCAGGTACACATGGCACAATACAATGCTGTGCAGAGAAAAGAGGAAGCTAGTTGAAAGCAGTGCTATGCATTTTCAAGAAGCTAGTTGAGGCTTTGTTGTGGAGAAAAGACAGTAGAGAGAGAAATAGTGATTGAAAAGCTGAAGGAATTTTTGAACATGTAGATATAAACTTTCAAAAAGCATGAGGCTTTATGCCTTTATGTTATATTTCTGCCATATACGAAATGAATCAGTAAGTAATCAAACAAGTTTTCCTCTCATACATCGTTTAGTGCCATACAAATGGTAGTTGCTAGAATGATCTCTCATTACCAGAAGATGCTCAGTAGATAATTTAACTATGCCTTATTATGCAGACATTAATCATACCTGTTGCTTCACTGTAATCAATGCAGTCTCGGTAGCCATTACATTAAAGTTCAGGTATTTCTCCTAGGAGAAATACCTACATTTCTTTAACTAGAACAAAACTTCAGACTGTCAAAAATAATAAAGAAAAAGAAAAAAAAGAAAAAAAATTCTGTGGTTTCCTATTCCAGACTAAAACACAGAAAAACCACTTTCAAAGCAGGTATTTGTTAGACATTCTTACAGGAGTGTTTAGTACATATCTTTGATTTCATCACCTGGTTTCAGCACACTAATAGTAAGGACTGCCAGAGTGTCCTTGAATTGAACTCCTGAATCAATGAGAGTTTTGTCACTCTGGGAATGGAAACTTCCAAGGAGCTGGATAAAATGCTACTAGTTCTACTACATGGCATTTTTTTCTCTGAGTCAGCTCCTGAATATTTCACTAAGCCTAGTGTAACCAGAATTTCCAGTCTGGCTAGAATATCCCAGTATCCAACAGATATGGTTTTGCTATTTTTCCATATCACATGGAGGAAACAGGATATTCCTGCTCTCACCTTAAGCCCTGTATAGAAATGCAGGCTTTTGCAGCACGAGAGCAGGAGACGGGAGTCTGGCACAGGGTTGTGATGTGATACAAGTCTCATGTTTTACTGCAAAACAACAGGAACAGATTATGTTCTGCAGTGCAATAAATACTGCTTAGACTGATGAGTCCGCAAAGCTTATATTCAATTAAGTAACCTGACATGGGCTCTATACATAACACACGCTATGTTTTCTTTATTCTGGTTTCTATGGCTGTATACATATCCTAGGAAAAAAATATAAATGCTTTCCATTAACAACAATAACTGTAGGTAAAGTACTATAAGCAGGGAACAGAAGTTCCTCCCTAGCTGCCTGAAATAGCACCTGAGTTTTCTCACTGCACAGAAAGTAGGAACTATCAAACTGTTCTTCAGTTGACTGATAGTACTAGCAGACATGGCTCATCACTAAAATTTGATGACGCTTTTGGAAGAAACATGTCTACTAACTCTAATAAATTTTAGTAGAATTAAGTACTCTAAATTTTAGTTAATTAAATTCTACTCATTCAAGATCCCCCCTCTCCAATATGAACTAGATATAATTAATAACAAAAGAAAAACAAGGACATAGTATAGAGGGCTAATGTTTAAGCTGGATCACAACTAACCATCATGAAGACTGATAAAAATTAAAAATGTTTCAACTATTTGACAGAATGAGACAGAAGGTTAGACTTCTGTGAAATTACTTAACCATGTAGTTCTTAAACAAAAACCTGACTTAGTATTTCTCAAGGCCTTCTTGGTGACCGAGATTGTAAACCTTTTGACCAAACCTACAGACGCTGAAAAAGAATTCCCTGCATGCCATCTTGTGGATGTCACAAGAACACCAACATTTGTTTTGAAAAGATGGATTCGTTACCAAAAAAAAAAAAAAAAAAAAAAAAAAGAATGGGGTGGGGAGGAAAGACCACAAATATATATGTCCTTAAATATGAACCTGCTGCATAATTCATTACGATCAGAAAGAAACAAGTTTTGGAAAATAAGTTTGTTTTGCTTTTATTTCTTCTGCTTCGTCTGAAATAAACTAGCAGTTCTAGTGGCTGTGGGATCACACTGTCAACTGTTAATGATCTGTCATTAGTTAAGGAACTAGGCAATGACTTCAAGATTTGGACTTAATATCCAAGACACTTCCATTATGAAATATCACTTTAAACACTTTTTGTAACATTATTTTCTACACGTTCAGAGAGAGCAGTACAGAATAAATCTCGTAGTAGCATGCTCAGGATATCTTTCTCTTCCGCTATTCCTTCTTACATACATACTACCACTGCTCAGTTACAGCAACATATGTGGTGATTCTCTAAATCAGTCAAAGCTACTCAAACTGAAGCAATTAATTTAAACATTTGCCTGAAAAGGATGGTGGGGAATTGAGATAAAAGAAACAGAAGAGGTTAAGTTTGAGGTAAAATCACTTTTAAAATTTGGTTTTGCCTTCTTATCTAAAATAGCTTGCGACCACAGCTTCCATGATGGGGTAACAGTCAGTGTTTTATAAACATGACGTATGTTTCTCAGAACTGGTCCCATTTTTTTGAAATTATTTACTTGGAATGCAATTAAATATGAGCACAAGTCATAGGTGTTTACAAGCCTTTCCCCATTAAAAAATAGCTAACCAAATTAGAAGGAAGTCCTGAAATGTTATTGTAACCTATATCAAAACTGGCGAAATTAGCAACTGTGTTCTAGAAGGGGGAAAATATTGCAAATTCACTTCAGGGATTATTTTGATGGTGTTTCTAGATTTGTGCATTCAAACACAAATATGCTTATGTGCAGAATAGCAGTGCTGAATGAGACCCCAGAACTCAAATGGCCTTACATATCACTGATACAAACCCTGACTGTCTGCTGGCGGGCTAGCTGCTCTGTAATTTACAAAGGTTATGGACATTTTTCACACTTACTTAACACTATTTTGAACTTAGGGAAACTCAAATTTATTTGAGCCAGATGAGGGCGACAGAACAATGTTAATCACCTAAATACATTAAAAAGCATTATCAACATAGAAAGATGAAAAGCAACAGGAATTGAAGGAAGGGAAATGCTCGGTTACCCTTCATGTTTCTTTAAGTTATATAGAGTGAACACAGGAAGAGCACTTCCATCTTGGTGTTTTTTTTACCATGGGAGATCCCTGCACTACTGGTGACAAAGAAAAGGAATGTGAGCGTGTTGGTAAATCAGAGGTGAGTAAGACTGTTTTGGGTTTGGGGTTTTGTTTCAGTTCGGCCCCTTTTCGTAACAAAAAGCTCTCCTCTCGCCGTTTTCACAAACGCCCGCCGCACGCGGAGGCCGCTCCACAGGGCCGAGCCTCCCGCTCCGCCCGAGGCCGCCTTCCCGGCGGGATCGGGCGCACTGGGCATGCGGCGGGACAGGTCCATTGCGGCGGGCGGGCGGGCGCCGCCGGAGAGCCGCATGGATGGAAGGCAGGAGCGCCCCGCCCAGTCCTCCCCTGCGGTTGGTAGCGGCCTGCTCGGAGCGGCGGCGGTGTCGGTGGAGCGGGGCGGCGGCGCTGGGCCGGGGCTGCCGGTGGCTCTGCCCGGCGCCATGAGGCATCTGCCGTACTTCTGCCGCGGGGAGGTGGTGAAGGGCTTCGGCAGGGGCTCCAAGGAGCTGGGCATCCCCACTGGTGAGCGGGGCGGGGGCGGCACCTCCCGGGATGGGCACGGGTGGGGTGTCCGGCGTGCTCGGCTGGGCCCGGCGCTGGGCCGGGGGGTCCGCACGGAGCCCCGGGAGCGCTCCCGCCGGCGAGAGCCCGGGCCGGGGGTTCTGCAGCCGGGCCCTGTCGGGCCCCGAGCGCAGCCGGACCCGCAGCCACGCTGCTGCCCAGCAGGGTGCGGGAGCGCCGTGACTAAGCTCGCCTAGCCCGGGAGCCGCCTGGCTGCCCTGCACTGCTGCACTGTTGTCGTGACCTGGCTTCCCGAAAACACCCCTGCCTTGTGCCTTGTCAGGCTTTTCCTGAGGCTTTTTTTTCCTCCTGCAGTGCTCAGTCTTGCACTCTCCAGTGAGTTATTCCGCCCCCCCCCCTTGGTTAAGAGGTTTCTCTGAGCCTTAGTTTTTGTTCCTTTATTTGTCTAGCGATCGTCGCGGTGGTGTACAGGATGCAGATAAGTGACCACGTGCACGGTGCTATGGTAGCTTGGAAAAATACCCGTTCTCATAAAAATCAGAACAACAAAGGGAGTAGGTACTGAGAATCGCTTTAAGGAGAATAGTTCAAGGGGAATAAGCAGAGGTTAAAACAAAGTAGGTGGGCTTAGCCTACAGGGAATATGTTTGCCTATTGCTTATCTCTCTCAGTTGTCTGAATGCCTTAAACAGCCGCTGAAGTCAGCAGTCATGTTGCGCTGATTGTAACAGATGTGAAACTTTACGAGACCACTCTCGTGGTGCTGGGTTTCTGACATCTGTTTCTGGCAACATTTCACATTTTTCTCTTGATTCCTTATAAGTGCTATGTGGGTATTGGGGAACAGGGAAGGGAAGCCATTGTTTGTGAGCTTTAATAAAAATGCAGTACATTTTAAATCAACTTCATGTCTTGCATGGTAAGTAGAAGTAGGATAGTAATTTTGAGAGAATTTTAATTTCAGTCAGAGGGGAATTTCATTTTGCTATAATTATGTAGTTTTCAGCGACAATCGCAGAAATCCACAGATGTCTCCAAAAGACAACTCGTACAAAATTGACAAGTGGTTAAATAATAATTGCATTTATTTCTACATATTTTATTTCATAAGTAAGTATTTTACTAAGAAGTAAATAGTTCTAGGATGCTGTTTTATAGTGCAGAACAAACTTAATTTTTTTAATTCATCTTTACCATATTAAAGCTGTGATAGTTATCCTAAAGGTGAAATGCATCCTGACGGGATATATGACATGTTTATTAATTATTTTTGAAAAAGAGAAAGTGAACTATAAAATACAGTATGTGTAAAAGATGTAATACCTCTGGTATTGCCACAGGGTCTGAATTTTATGAAGGTGTGTTATACTTTACCAAATGGCATGTTGCGTTATTCTCATCATCAACAGTGTTGTGTTTGTAAGCAGTAAAGTAGGCAGAGTTTGGCTTTTCAGTATTTGAAGATCCTGTTATGTCCTTGACTTTCACAAACTGTTGCCTTCTCTCTGTTGCCTAGAGAAAAAAACTCTAAGCCAATTTAGTCTATAAGATAAGATAGAGTAGGTGCTTTAATCTCATGCTTGAGGCCCAGGGAATACACAGTCACTCACGCCTTACACTTTCTAAAATTTTTGCAGCTAACTTTTCTGAGCAAGTGGTTGAAAGCTTTCCACCTGATATCTCTACTGGTATATACTATGGATGGGCCTGTGTTGGAAATGGAGATGTGCATAAAATGGTTTTGAGCATAGGATGGAACCCTTTCTATGGGAATACTAAGAAATCAGTGGTAAGAATTTTGCTTTGTGTGGGATTTTTATTGTAACACATGCGCCAGATGTTGAATTTTAATAAGATTAGCAGAATTTGATTTGTGAATGAGATCTAGGAATTTGCTCTTAAAAATTCATTTGATATCTATATCATATTTATATTCTATAAAGAATGTACTCTACCCCAAGAGTATAGCGATGTAGGTGATTAAAGTTTATTTTCTTCTTTCTCTTCCACCATTTCTTCATTACTTCTAAAATGAAAGTATAACACTACTTGAAATGATGGTTGCTCAAGTTGCTGATAGCAAGTTAAGCATAAGTTGATAAATGCATTGAATTTACCACTTATGAGCGCCATACCATGAGCTGCAACATACTTATGGTTTTCTGCAGTGTATCTGCTTTTCAAATAAGAGATGTAGGAGCATCTTAATTTTTAATGATTTTTTATTAATTCTTAAATTATGGAATCCATACATGAGGTGGTATGGCTTGACATACAGAATAAATATTTGAAGGTGTGTAACAATACGATGGAGAAGTTAAAATCCCGAGCTGTGATTTTCTTGCTATCAGGTGCTGGTGCTTTCCCTGAGTCTTGCAGAGCTCTGTTTTATTTATTGAAAACAATTTTGTTTGGGCAGGAATCTCTGCTATTAAGTGTTTTTCTTAGGCAAATGTATACTTTTAAAAATGTTTGCAGATAAGTTTTCTGAACAAGTAGTTAAAAGCTTCCCATATGGTAGCTCTTCTGGTATATGCTGTGAGTCAGCCTATTTTGAAGAGGCAGATGTGAATAAAATGTTTTGAGTGTAAGGTGGAACTGTGTCTCAGCCTGCACTTGTTCCTAAATTTTATCATTAAGTTCCCATGTGAGCTAGTTCCAAAAGCTCTCCTTAAGCCAACTGCTTCAATCAAAATCTTCGTAGTTATTTGAATGCATTAACTTGATGATGAAACATTAGGCTTTGTTTGTGATTTCCTGCCTTGGAAATACTGCCTCTGAGAAGTGATGAAGCATTTCTCCTGAGTAATGTCTCTCTGGTTCGTTTTTTTTTTTTTTCCTTTTGACTATCAGAATACTCTTCTAATGAGTAGGTTTTTTTAAATTTCATGCAAAGTGCAATTCTTCTTCATAACATAAACTAAAGTCCTAGTGTTTTAATCTTGCATTGTACATGCTAAACGTAATGTCCCTTTTATTCTCTGTTGAGGAAGACTTGAGTGATGGATATTAGGTCTACATGCTTACAGAGAGGGAAAGAAACTCTTTAAGTTCATAATAAATGCCCACTTATTTTTCTTTCTTTAGGAAACACATATTATCCACACCTTCAAGGAAGACTTTTATGGAGAAGTTCTTAGTATAGTCATAGTTGGATATATTCGACCGGAAAAAAACTTTGATTCCTTAGGTCAGTATTGGAGGTCTCCCTCAAATTAATCTCTTTTATATCTTACTCATGCAAGTTCTGTGTCTTCCCTGTCTCTCCTTCCATTATGAGATGTTTTATCTATTAATGTTTGAAATTTCAGTAAAATGTTTTCATTTTCTAAAAAACCCAAAACCATACCCCAACATCTTCTACTAGAAAACTATTTTTCAGTCACTTGTCTGTGGAGTAATTTTAAAATCAAGGACTTGTCGTAAAAGCACCAGTTGAATGTGTTAATTTCTTTTTTAAATGCAGCTCTGTTAGTATTGAGACAGAACTGCTAAAGTCTTTTGGAAAAGCAAGAGAGTGCTTGTAACAAGTAAAAATACAACTGTCATGTTTGAAAAACCCAAAGAATTCTGCCTTTAGACCTCATATTCTACTTCTGTGATTGTTGTTTGATATTTTGTGGTACCCTATGTTTTCACTTCATACTGTGTTCAAAATTCAGACCATCTTTTAAATATCCCTGTTATTTTTTCAGAGGCGCTCATTTCAGCAATTCAGGAAGACATTGAAGAAGCAAAAAGACAGCTAGATTTACCAGAGCATCTTAAACTCAAAGAAGATAACTTCTTTCATCTGCCAGAAGGCAAAATAGGAAACAACCACTGAGAAAACCAATACAGTTTTTTATTTGTTTGTTTGAAGTTTTTTTTTATTTTTCTGCCCTGTCATGGAACCTTTACATTTGCACTGCTTTCATAGGTGCTTTTTTGTCATATATCTGTTTGGTAACTGAGATTGGAACCAATCATACAAGATGATTTCAGTTTTCTTTGGTTAATTCAGCATTAACCCAGTCATGGAAAAACGACTGGAAGGCTGTAATAGGTCCTTACTGTATTCTAAAGTTACCAGTTGTTCAGAAATTGGAGCACATTCAGAACATGACCAAAGTCAGCTGTAACCCTAGAGTATGGATAGTTCAGTTAATGAAGAATGTCTGATTGTAACTCAGAGAATATTATTCCAGCTTCTTTTCTGTTTTATGTCATTCTTGGATCTGGATTTTAGCTTAGGAAATTTTGCTGTTGATTGAGTTAGAAATTTCCTGTGGTTAGATATGATTTGGTAACAATAACAAGATTAATTCTTTATAGGTCTTATTTTTTATATACTACATTGCTGTCATGGTTTAAGATCTTGCTTTAATTGAAATAATTTAAGTTATTTGAAATGGAGGAGATCACTGTTGCTCATTATATTACTGGAATCTGAGCTATACTTTTTCATAGTTACTTGTACATATGACAACACATGACCTGTGTAGTTTACTGCCAGGGAGGTGTTTCATTTGAATTCAGGAAATGAATGACAGTGTGAGAGTCAATAAACTGTGGAAGTTCAGGGGCAAAAGATGCAGAAACAATATAACAAGATTTCTGCTCGTTGGGCCTTAAGGGAAAATAGGTAGTGAGAGGCAAATTTGTGTTTTATATGCTGCTGGTATTATGAGAAAATGAGGAGAATCTTGAGGTTTTTCACTGCACTGTCAATAAAAGGTCTGACTTCAAGGTTGGCATTATTGTAAGGCACAGAAAAATCTCATTAATGCTCTGCACTAAGTGCAGGTAAGAGCCAAAGTTTTGGCTGACCAAGTAGATGAGTACACAAATGAAAACCATTGGGGATTCATTGCATAATATATCAACACTGTAGTGGATATTCGTTATTTATTACAAGTAGTTGCAGACAGTCCTACTCGTAAATGCAGGAATACAAGTGGGCATTGGACTAGATGATCTTGGAAGGTCCATTCCAACCCTAACTGTTCTGTGATTCTGTGATAGGTAAATGGAGGGAATACTGTCAGAACTGATAGTAATTTGGAAAATAGTTCTCGAAGTATGTAGTCTGTGATGGCAAATCTGCTCTTGTTTTCCTCTGATAAATTTTTTGTATCCCCTGCTTGGTGAATGGAAGCAGGTAAGCTGCAGTGACTGTCACGATTATAATCTTTTGACATCGGGAGTTAGATATACTTTCTTTTAAAGAAGAACAGAGATGATTTAGTGGACTTTTACTATATAATGTAATGGAAACTGTATTTCCAAAAGGTCTGTAAAAGGATTGTCTTACAAGGGTGATAGTTGGAATTTTTTACATTTAAATGGAGGCATGAAGGGAGAACTATTTTTTTTTTTTGCAAAGAATTTATGCATTCTTCAGATTGTATTAGTGTTAAAATCATATATTTTACTACTTTTTTGAGAATAAACAAAAGCCACCCTAGTAAACAAAGTGTGTTGTCAAGAATAGATTTTTGTTCATGGTGGTACTGTAGTTAAACACTCATAGCTGCCTTTAAAATTGTTTTTTTGCCAGTAATGTCACGTGTCAGTTGTGGAAACCTTGGTGCCTTAAGCTGGTTGTCTGAATAATACTCTTCTGTATCTGCTGATAAATGCTACTATCAAAAATTCAATTCACCATTTGGTTATAGAACTACTGTGCTGTGTACAGTGAACAGTGGCAAAGGGAAAACTTGAAAGACTTGGTTTGCTCTCAAATCCTGGCTGAGGTGTGATATAGGAATTCACTGAACTAATAAACTGCTCTTTATGTGTTTGTCTTCAAATCAGAGAAAATGTTAGTACTTTCATTTGGCTGAGTATACATGTCTATATTATTTAAGAGAAAATGTTGTATGTAATTGCTTAAGCTCAATGCCTAATTTCTAGCACAGTATAAAATTTATGAAGGGTTATATTTTTGTATTACGTACAAATAATTGTATTTATTGTGGTTGATGTTGCTGCACTGTACCAATAACTAAAGGAACTGTAATTGACAAAATTATTCTTCTTGTCTGGGGTTTCCTTTCCTTTGCCATTCCTTGCAATGTTAGTGTTCTGGGTTTTATGCAAAGGTTTGTAGGGGTAACTGCCTAAAATGCTGAACTGATGGAAGAGTAGTGGGATATTGTTCAACCTTCCTATTGTGTCTGAAAACTGGCCCCACTTTGGGGACTTCAGTGCCTCAGTCAGGAGCTAGAGCCTTAGAATTCACAGCCCGAAACCCCTGAATTGGTTTGCCTATACACTCCCTTTCAGAGCTTTTTTAAAAGCTGCTCGTTCCTATTAGGATTCAGATAGAAGGAGCTGCATTCTTCTGTATTCTGCTTCAACTGTCAAACATTCATCAAAGATTTATCTGCTGCTTCTGAAGGAGAGTCAAACCTGTATCTTAAAACACTTTATGATGGCTCTGGCTGCTTTTGGAAAAAAAATTCTCATACTTCAACACTTGGCAACAGTTTTTATGTAAACCTGTATATAACCTCTTCGTAGCATTGCTGAAGTTACATCAAGAAAGAGTGTAACACTTCGGGTGATAAATGTGCTAAGGATTGCTGTTATTATGTCACATGTTGTGGATTCTTCAGTGTAGACTGGTGTCTGTCAGAAAACATGCTTTTGACAACAGACTGCCCAGACTAGAGATGTGGATCTAAGAGTGAGAAATCCCCGAGCACCTGTATTGTTCAGGAATTTTCTGTAGCACTCAGTACTGTAACTTCCAAGCTTCTAATTTTTTCTCCTAGTTTTCTTCTGGAATGAAATCAGTATTAAAACCACCTACAATGTACTTCACTTCCTTTCTAGCAAAACCTAAGAATTGAGTCATAGAAGAGGAAATTTTTTTTCCATAGATGTGTAAGCTGCATTGGAAAGAGAAAGGATGAAGAATCTCTGATAGCTTACATTTTCTTTTGAAATCAAATTACTGGATTACATGAGAGGTGACTGGATGGTAAAACTGCAGGAGATATGAATTTGCTTGGCCTTTTGAAAGAGCATTATTAGTAAGAGGTTATTGTCTAGGAGGAAAAAAAAAATGCAGCTAGTTAAATCAGAGCTTAGGGCTTGGGAAACTCCAAGAACAAATGAGAATAGCAAAGAAAAGGTTCCAGGGTGTGGAAAGGAGAAAACAGAAAAAGTCTTGAGTGCCTGTCATTGGGTTTCTAAATGTATTTATTTCCTTCAGCACATCTTTCTTGGGGTGATGTTTGGAAGAAGGCAAGAAGATGGAAGCGTTGGCTTTGTGGTAAAGGATTTGTGGATTTGAATTTCTTTAGGTATTTTTTCAGGACAGTGTAAAAATAAGTCCATAAAGTAGAAAGCAGTATCTCAAATCCGTTTGTGCTGAGTTTTGTGTGTGTTTACTCTTGGTTTCCTTCATTGTACTGTTTTCTTTGAACTTTCTCCAGAAGTGTTTGTGACTAATGAACAATTCCCTCTGAGTCAGTAGCTCTTGGTCTAATGGCCTTTTATAAAATTTATGACTCTTCTTGGTCTTTCTGTGCACTCTCAGCAGGCAGTTGTAATTGGCAACAGCATAAAACTGATAGGACTCTACGTATTTAGTTTGGGCATCCCTAACCACTATTTTTAAAATGCCACTTAAAGAAAAAAGTCTTTCTCACAATTCTCTTCCTCATACTATGTCCTTCTAGTATTATCTGTCAGTTAGTTGTTGCTCTCTTAAGAAGACTCCTTCAGGGCAATTTTCTGCCTTCTTGTAAAATACGGACATTTTCATCCTGCCCATATGGCATAAAGTCATGTAGTCTTCCTGCTGCATCTCAGGAGCAAGTTTCTCATCTGAGCTGCCAGAAAAGCACTGCTTTTCTGGGAGAAAACAAAGATACTAGTATGGCTGCTCTCCTTCTCTCCTGGAGCTGATAAATACAAAACATGTTTGTAATGTTATGCCCAAACCAAGGGAAGGCCCCTGGAAAGAGCTGGCATTTGAAAAGAATTCAGAGGTCTTCCTTTTTTGAGTGCATACTTAGAAATGTGATTTTGTTCCAGTCTTACTTGCACTAAGGCAGACCAAATTATATTAAGAAACAGATTTTATTTTTAGAATGCTTTATTATTATACTGGGAGGGTTGTTTGATTTATTTTCTGTTGTTTGTCCTTTGGGTTTTTGTTTGGGGCTTTTTGTGTTTGTGTGGAGGCATTTTTATCTATTGAGAGTGAATATATACAAAAGTTTTAGTAAAATGATGATGTTAGTCTCAGCACTTGTAGACAAAACATTTGCTAAATCCATTTCTTGTAGGGGTTTAAGACTGCTTAGCTGTACCTTGGATTAAGTCTTCGAGATCTGATAAGAGGCTATATCAACCACTAACAGTAATAAAGTGTAATGTTAATCCAAACAAAGGTAGGATAGCAGGATATCACAAATAGTCCTTTTCAACATTTGAATTTATTTTTCATTCTTTTTATCTTTGGTTTTCCCTGGAGAAGTCTTCCTGATAAGAGCTTAAGTTGAAGTGACAGATCAGATGTGCCTTTCCAATTAACATTATTATGTTGCTTTTGATAAATATAAACCCTTATTTTGGCCTTTTTAATCTGTCACGTGGTTTTGTATTTCTCTTTGTTACTGAAGGTGCAATGATTAAGTCTTAAGTGGATTCCACAGAATTCTTTAAAATTTACAGGGGAACCATGAGGTCCTTAGGAGTATCTGAAACAACAAAAAAAAATCCACTAAGGAGTTATGGCATAAAAATTAGTCTTTCTTGCATTGAATTCCTGTGTAGAGATAAGTGATTAACAGCTCTAGAGCTGTTTATTATTGGAAATGTGAGGGAACTATTGTAGGGCTCTGTCTACTCTCTTAGCCATCTGACCATACTGACAGTAAGTAACAGCGCTTTCATGGTGGTTTTGTGCAATGTCTTTGTTGTTTTGCAGCAAGAGGCCATAAAGAGCGTCCTGTTCTGTAGTATTATGTATTTAGGTAATGCAAAAAATCTGACGTTGTTGTGTCCCTTTAAAGTAAATTACCCCCTGAGTATTTATTCCATTTGGCGTAGTTTGAAAGTGCTGAACCATTTAAGAGATACATGGGAATTTTCTACTGTTAGTGCTCTCTACTTTTTTCAGTTCTCTGTCGCCCAAGAAGATCATAAAAAGGACAAAAGAAGTTCTTTTTCCCAGTGTACTTCGCAACTGTATTTCACTTTGCAGTAAATCCAAACTCTGTGTTTGTGATGAAACACTATTTAAAACTACCAGAATTAAGGTTACTTGGTGTTGATGTATAGAATGTTTCAGATATTTTTCATACAAACAGTGAATACTATGGAGTTACTTGGTGGAACGGGTCATGCTATAAATGCAATTCCACTGGAGAAGATTATGAGGAAAAACATTGGCATGGGAGGAGAGCAGGTGCACCAGATGATACCAACAAAGAAAATCTGGTTGAAACAGCTATTGTATTATGAATTGTTTTGCAACTGTAATTCCACAGTAGTAAACTACTGGCACCCCATCCCACTGACATTAGATAAATATGTCCATCCTGTTTATCTCTTCATGTTTTCATAGTGATTAGCATGATTCTTGGTAAATGTGTTAGGGCGCATTTGAATGGGTGTTTGTAACCGTTACAATGCACACTCATATGTATTGGCAAATGATTTGCTCTCTACCGGATGGACAGAAATATAACTCTCAAAACAGCATACATCTAGAGAGATACCTAAAAACCTACAAAATAGTTACGTAAAGCTTTAGAAAAAATTATGGTTTTAGAATCTATGCCCCTCTCATGATCTGTGTTGGCTGAAATCTTGAGCTTAGCATGCTAGAAAATTATTAAATACAGTGCAATAATTTTGTAAGAAAGGCATCAGAGCAGAAAATCTATAAAATAGTAAAGAGTTCTCTAAATGAATAACTTCATCCTATTCAAAGGTTATCTTCCTCATTGTCTCCCAGGAGACCAGTTTTAAATATATGCTGAACTGTTGCCATCCTATCTCATACGTATCTACATGTTCATCTCCAGTCCCGATCACTTGATGAAGTCGTTGCTCATGTGAGAAGGAGAGCCTTTGGATTGATTCTCATACCCACCTTCATGAAAAGCTGTGGCTTTGCCTTGCTATATTCTCCAGATCTGTGTAATGGTTCCAGTAAAAAGGAAAAGAAAAATCAACTGGTAAGAAAGTAGGTGATTTGGGTTTTGCTCTCTGGTGGTAGAGTGTATCATAATACACAGTCAGCTGATAACACCAGGTAAAAAACCAAAACTGTGAGGTCAAATAGGAGGGATCTTTTTTTCTAAATAACCTGGTAGAGCATATAGGTTAGTGTACAGTTTTAATGTGTTAGAGATACTGCCTTACCCTTCTGATAGCACAGTTGTGCTCTTGCAGCTGTGATGGTATAAAGCTAAAGACAAAGGAGGTTGGTAGGACAGCTAAGGGGTTTTTTTATTAGATTAGGGATCGTCAAAGCAGAGAAGCTAACAGGGAAACACAACTTACTTCTAACCTTAGGCTAGAAAGACTAAACACTAAGAAATACTTAACACTTCCAACTCTGGTATCTAGAAGAAATTAAAGACTGGTGGTGGGGGCTGAGCCTGCTTTCCCCAGTTCTATCAGTTTGGTTTAATAAACACATTTCTTCCCTCTACAAATCTTTTATGTGCAAGATACCTACAGATTTTTCAAAGTCAGTGAGGTGATTTTTATATGGTGGTACAGAATGCTGTCCATTAAAATGGGTCATTTCCAATCAAGTGTTTATGAAAAGCAAGGGTGTTTAAAAAAACATTCGTAAGTGAGAGAAGGCGGGATCTCCCATAAGAGCTGCAAGTAAAGCCCTGCCTATTCTGGTGGTGGTGTAGAGACAATACTTCATGTGCCTTCAGCTCAGCAGCACTGAGCTCTTTCTTGCTTTTTGTTTTTAAATGTCAGCCTAGTCAGTCATAAAGCACTTAAATGCCATTACTGCTCTTCAGGAAGGTCCTGCCTTGAGTTTTTTGC